AGCAAAAAACACCCAACTGTAAAAAGAAAAAGAAAAAAGGATCCAAAAATATGAAGATAGTGTAAGGAGCCTCTGAGACAACTTCAAAAGTACCAACATTTTGGGGGTGCCAGAAGAAGAGAGAGAGCAAGATATTGAAAACATATTTGAAAAAATAGTGACAGAAAACTTTTTTCACCTACCTGGTGAAACAAATAGACTTACAAGTCCAGGAAGTGCAGAGAATCCCAGACAAAAGGAACCCAAAGAGGCCCACACCAAGCCACATCATAATTAAAATGGCAAGGGTTAAAGAGAAAGAGAGAATCTTAAAAGCAGCAAGAAAAAAGCAGTTAGTTACCTACAAGGGAGCTCCCATGAGACTGTCAGCTGACTTCTCAACAGAAACTTTTCAGGCCAGAGGGAGTGGCAAGAAATATTCAAAGTGATGAATAGCAAGATGTTACAACCAAAATTCCTCTACCCAGAAAAGCGATAATTTAGAATTGATGGTCAGATAAAGAGCTTCACAGATAAGAAAAAGCTAAAGGAGTTTATCAACACCAAACCAGTATTATATGAAATGCTGAAGGGTATTTTTTAAGAAGAGGAAGAAGAAGAAAAAGGTAAAGATACAAATTATGAACAACAAACATGCATCTATCAACAAGTGAATCTAAGAATCAAGTGAATAAATAATCTGGTGATCATAATAGAATCAGGGACATAGAAAGGGAATGGACTGACTATTCTTGGGGGGGAAAGGGGTGTGGGAGATGCGGAAAGAGACTGGACAAAAATCGTGCACCTATGGATGAGGACAGTGGGTGGGGAGTGAGGGCGGAGGGTGGAGCGGGAACTGGGAGGAGGGGAGTCATGGGGGGAAAAAAGAGGAACAAATGTAATAATCTGAACAATAAAGATTTACTTAAAAAAAAAAAAGAAGATGACCTGCTCCTTACATTAAAAGGACCTATAAAAAAATCAATTGTATTTTTCCTTTGAGACTTTATCTGTATTCGTACTTCTTGGTTGTTCTGTGCTGTCACTGTTGGCTGGGTATTGCTGTGCAACACAGCAAGGCCCAGAAGCAGGGCGTATGCTATTACATAACAACACAGCGCATTGTTAGGCAGGAAGCCCAAATCCTGTGACAAGAGAAAAGTTCTGAGATATCCTAAATTAAGTTACAGCAGGCCACAGGGTGGAAGGAAGAGACAAGAGTGCTTAATCAGTTAACAGTTGCAGGTTGAAAACCAACAAAAGACTGCTTACATTCCTGAACGTGTGTGAAAACTTTGAATTAACTTCCAGGTGGCTATTTCCTCAGTTATTGAAGGAGAATAGCCAATGACCAGATGCCAATGCTTCTGCTTAAGCATGAACTTTTCAGACTGTTGCCAACAACTGGTCCAAAAGACCTGGTTCTTTTTCTGGCTAGCATGTGGCTCAATAAACCCTTTCTTTTAGAAAAGCTTGAGGCAATGAAGGTTTTTTAAAAAATATATATATTTTATTGAGTTTTTACAGAGAGGAAAGGAGAGAGATAGAGAGTTAGAAACATCGATGAGAGAGAAACATCGGCCAGCTGCCTCCTGCACACTCCCCACTGGGGATGTGCCCGCAACCAAGGTACATGCCCTTGACCAGAATCTAACCTGGGACCTCTCAGTCCGCAGGCCGACGCTCTATCCACTGAGCCAAACCGGTTTTGGCACAATGAAGGTTTTTAACAGCTGTCCCCTACCCCATATAGGAGTTTTTCACAGTGACATTTCCCTGCAGTATCTTGTAACAATAGACTTCCCTTTTCCTTCTTAGATTTCTTTAAAATGTTTCCCTTTGTATAAATAACTTAAAAATTCTGAAAGTAACTAGTTTTCCAGGTTATAGCAGAAACCTTCAATTTACCCCCCCCATGATTTTGTTCTTCATTTATTTAAGCAACTTAGACTTTCATCTGAATATAGTACATGGTTCTGGGATGACTGCAGGAGTCTGCAATCAATAGTGCTGCCATCAGAGGAGAACCAAGATGGCAGCATAAGGTATAAACCTGTACATGCTGCCCCCACAACAACATTAAAACTACAACTAAAAGACAAAACAGCTATCATCCGGAACCACAGGAAAGCTGGCCGAGTGGAAGTTCTACAACTAGAAGGAAAGAAAAAACCGCATTGAAACTTGGTAGGAGGTGCAGAGGCGCCAAGAGCAGAGGTACAGGGGCGTGTGTGCGAGGTGGGCTGCACCTGGGCGTGAATTTTTTTTTCAATCAGAAGGGGATACAAGCTCTCGAATGCACTGAACTCGTTTACAGAGAGACTCTGGGGACCCAGACTCCTACAGGGAGAAACTGGACTGTCCTACAGTGGGTCGGAAAGTGAGGGTGGCTTTCTTGCAGAGCTGCTCGCAGGGATCATTGTTACTGTGGGGGCATGGGACTTGGGGACTCAGGGACGCAGGGACGCGGAGATGCGAGGAGTTGCAGAGACGGCTAACGACAGCCATTGCTGTTTGCTCTGCCCTGGTGATTCTCTGAGACCCTGCCCCACTCAATTTACATCTCCAACCAAGCAGGGCAAAGGAACCGCCTGCCCTTCTGCAGCCTAACCTAACAAACTGCAGCTGGGTCAGAGAGCCCCAAAACTTCCAAACCCCAAACAAAGAGGAGAAATCTGCTGATACCGCTGTAGCTCCTGCTGGGTGGACTCACACAGTGGTTGACTTAGAGATCCAGGAGCCAGGGTACCCAGTGGTCAGATACCAGATTTCAACTCCTCACATCCATAAGGGACACACTCAAGAGGCAGACTCAATGAGCTCCAAAACCCCACTGAAGCAAGTCTGACCCCATAAGGGTTTCTCCAGCACAGCAGTTCTTCCACTATAGACACAGCGGGTCCTCGC